TTATTTTTAATAAATATGAATAAATCTTAATTCTGAAATTTAATGAATTTTGGCAACAAAATAGAATGTTTAGTTATGATTGGAGGGTGATCCCAACGGCAACAGGAGGCTTCAAGATATACCTCATTGAATATCTTGTCTTGTAGATGGCAAAAGAGTTAAAGTGATAAAGGGCTAATAAGAGGAACATTAAGAAGTGGCGGCCCAACCCAACAAAGGAATTGGAAAAAGATACTCAAAATGTATGTATGTACTATGTTGGGTAATGGGTAAATACTAAATGCATAGTGATTGGGCCATGAGCCTTAATCTGAAGCTTATAATGGGAGCCCAGTTTATTTGCACATCTGCAGCTTAAAACAAGAAAAAAAAAAAAAATCCCATGGTTGGTCAAACCCATGTCGTTGGATTCAAAGTCCAGAGTACTAACCACTACACCATGGAACCATCTCGTTGCTTTAAAAGTTATTTTAAATTTATGTACTTATAAAAAAAGTTTTCAGAAAAATATATATCTGCCAGACTTGAAGCATAAGCATCGGATCCAGGAATGAAATTGAACTATATTGGTATGGCTAATTATCAGAGAACTAGCAAGTATTGGACCACTTTTTTTTCTTTTTTTTTTTTTTGAATAAATAAAAATTTATTTATTTTAAAATATAAAATGTAATTCTGTCCTTCAATATAGATACAATTTCTCAACAGAAAATCATCCGGAAAAGCTTTTCCTAAAATCCTGTCAATCAGCCGCAACAATATAATAGTCAATCGCGTAGGATCGGACCCCTCTCTCTTATTAAGGTTTCTTTCAATAATAAGCGTTAATTAATTTTTTTTAATAAGCGTTAATTAATTTGTGCAGCTGCAACAATATATATTAATTAGGAAAAAGTGTTTTACAAGTTATTTCTAAAACTTTTTTTTGAAGGATTTGTTTAAAATTTTTTTAATCAATATTTTGAAAAAATAATTATTGTATTGAAAATTTTATTTTTATAGATTATACGTATTAATTTTTAAATTATTTTAATAGATTTAATTATTTCATTAATTATATAAAATTTAATAATATTAAATATATATTAATAAATAGATTTTTTTAACTAAGGTTATAAATATTATATTAATATAAAAAAAATACCCTAATAGGAAGGCTCAATCGTTATAAATTTGAAATTTAAAATTAAAAATTTTAAGTTTGAGTTTTGAATTAGATAAAGAGAAATTTAAGGAAATGTGAGGGTTATTCTCTTTTATATAATATATTATTATCAAATATATTAAAAGAATATTAATATAGAAATTTATATACATGATTTATATAAATAAAATTTTTAATCTAATAATTAATTTTTAAAAATAATAATTATAAGATAAATTTTTAAATAAGTTAAAAAATTTTTTTTTTGAAAGAATTATATATTGTACACTAACCTCTGAAAATTCTGCTTTGCATCTTTAGGGGTATGTAAATTATATATCCCCATTGTCCAAATTAATTTCCCCACGTTGAATTAGGTCTTCGAATCTAGTGATTTGTTTCCAATCTTTAGTATTTAGATTAAATTGATTATGAGTTCGATTCTCACTAATCACTTGAAAAAATTCCCTTTCCTCCATAATTCCCCATTGTTCAAAAAACAGAATAACAATTTCCCCATATTAGAATCCTCGTGCATGGCTCGTTACTTTGTGGGTGCTTCATTGACTTTCAAACCTCCTTGTTCCCCATTCCTCCTCTTTTTCCTCTAATTCCCTTACAACAACAACAACAAGAGCAATAACAGCAACAACAATAATAATAAATTTTTCCATGTTAAAAAAAAAAAAAATTAATAGTGTTAATATGGGCGAAAAC